TACATCTATTTCGTGGGGTGAAGAAAGGGGGGGTGTTGCGCGCACCCCGCGCTAGCCACCTGACGCACCCCGGCCGTGGGAACCGAACGAAAAACCGTAGGAATCCTCTAGGCACCACACCACGCGACGTGTGTGCACGCGTACACGCGCGCGCTGCGTGCCGATACACTCTAATATCACGGTACCCCCGATTGAGGAGAGGTCCGAAATTATAGCGACACCCCATGCCTTTGTATAATGTCCTAGGATACCCAAAATTTCATTGTTTGGCCCGTTTGAATTGAAATAACTTTATATTTTTATACAAATTACAGTTATAACATTTTTAATACAACATATTTTTAGATTTTATTTCTTTCATTTTTCAAAATGAAAAAAAAAAAAAAGAAAAACTTAAAATTAATCACAGGTAATTCATTACAAAAAAATCTATTATCGAAATAAAAGCTTATCAAAAATTCAAAGCCAGCAATTTTAGTTTAGCTGAGATTTTTATTGCGCGTTTATCCTGCTAAAGTGGTGAAATCGTCGTGCACACGACATGACTTGTCTGTGTGTATGGGAATGAACTGCGTGACAATATTCGTCGGCCGGCCGGGAAAAGGAGACGGTTTACGAGGCGTACGCGTGCGGCGTGAAAGTATGTGGGAAGACCATCGCGATTCGAAGGAGCGTCCGGGCTATGCGCAGCCTCGTAATCACGCGTACACGCTTGTAAGAGCGAGAGAACCGGAGGAACGACTCCGTCACGCGCCAACGAGGAAAAAGAAGGAGAATGAGAGGCGGAAAGACGCGGCGACGAGGAAGGAGTCACGAGTGAGATTATTGTAATGCTGAAACAATGAATCCAATCTGTATGTACGACCGCGCCGTGCCGCACCGCACCGCACCGCGCCGAAGGAGAGCGTGCCGCGTCGCACGAGCGCGGCGTGCGCGACGACGAGTCGTGCGTACGGTCGCGCGCGAAATCTACGCGTTGCCATTATTGCGGCCTGGTGCCACGGGATGGATGATCCCATAACTTCCAGACGCATTAAATAAAACGAATGAAACTATTATATCACGTATAAAGATCACGATAATAATTGTACGAGCAGACTCTTAAATAAAAATAAACAATACTTTTTTTACACGTGTCTCTCTCTTCTGTTTTATTTATTTACTGTAAAATATGAATTTAGTGATCTTGAACTTTTGATCGACGATTCGAGATACAACATATTCTAGACCTGTTCTAGAATACCTCGTGAGTCGCTGAGGAGTAAATCTCGCGATCAAAATTTTATGCGGACGGACGCGCGGGGGAGGTAATCGGGAATCCGCTATATCTCGAATACGAATTTTAACACGAGGCACGGGAGGAGAACGCGCGCGCTCACGCGCGCGCGCGCGCGCGCGGAGCGTGGGAACGGGCGCTCTTAAGCCTTCTACAAAACAAAGCACGAGTTAGCTACGTGACGGAGGTGGGGGGCACGCGACGCACCTGACTACCGCGATCGCCCCCGCGCCGCTCCACGTGCTCGCATCCGCCCGCACCGCGGTCGTGCCCTCTCCCCGCCCTCCCTCACTCCTCCGTACTCTTTGCTCGTATCCCGGTGGCCGCTGCCGGTTTATTAAGTCGTTATCCAGGGTCGAGTACGTTCTTCAAGCCCACAAGCGAGTTTCGCGCGTGCAGCATTCGTCGGCGGAGAACGAATCGTCGATCGATCAATTAATCCGCGCAACTGATATGCGCGTGATAATTAAAATACAAATAAAAACTATATATGACAAAAAAATATATGATACACAATCCCGTTCTTTTTTTTTATTTACATTAGATATGTCCTTGGCGCGATTACAATATTTGACAAATTGTGAAAATTTCTACAAAAATCTCTCTTCTGAATGAAACAATAGTTGGCCAACTAGTTTTTAGTATACGCTTAAACTTCTTCAATCTCATGGCCATATATATATCTACATTTTTTATTTGTATTTGTAAAATTACTCGAGATTCGATTCGATAGATATCTGTGAAATATTTATGTGACACGTGCCACAGTTAAATGCACAATTAAATATACGATAATGTTGAAATTGAAATTACGCTTGTCGTAGGAAAGATACATTAGAATGGCTCGTATATCGAGAATGGCCTTGGATGATCATACAAGACTGCCTCTATACTCGAGCCAACGGCTCGTGATAAATGACACGCTAATTATGCACACGTGCGGAGGACATATTGTAATCGCGTCGCACAATCGTCACGCGCGGATTACGAAGCAGACAAGGACCGACATCTAATTGACATGGAATTGAAGTTGCCACTCATTGATAACTGCAAGTTAATTTATGTCATTGTTTACATCTCGTTTGTCGATATCCTATCTGAAATCTTCTCTTTTATTCTACATTATATCCAACAGGAAATTAAAACAGAGAATAAAGTTGTGAAAATGTATTATTTTTCTCTTTCTTTTTTTTTCTTTTTTTTGGAGCAAATCATATACCGAACGATAATGGCATATTTTAACTCACATATAATTTCGCCGTTGGATAGGAGCGAGCTAATTTCCAGACCCCATTTCCACGAAGTGACTTTTCATTAGGAATCCAACTGCTGTGTCAATTTGATCAAGTGACAAAGCGCAATCCGCGCGTGTGTATATGGTGTGTTTAATGAGTCGATTAGAAGGATTTTATGAATTTAAGTTTGATTGTCCCCTAAAATGGGCCAAAGTGCTTCACGCACGATTCCTAGAACCGACGTAAAATTATCGTTCCGGATACGCGGCCGATGCTTTTTCGAATAAAGCCCCGGACGAAAAGTCGGACGGAAGGTAGACAAAGAGGTCTAGCCTCGTTAATGGACGGTGACGACGACGTAAAAACGCGTAACTACCTGTCCCGTACTCCGGTGGCGGGGGGGGGAGGAGAGAGGAGGGGGTCTCCTTGAGATCTGTCCTCACGTAGAAGAGACGGGGTCCTTAGCCTTACGTGCTATCTGCGTTGTGTTGGTTATATAACGCACACGCGGCTGCTCGCATGAATGAATACATTCATAAAGTCGGGTCCGGCCGGCTTGGCGCGCACGTCACATATACATACGCGAGGTTGCAATCTCAATAAGAAAATACGTCTATTATGTCGTTACAATAACGATATCAATTCACCGTTGACCGTCGTAGCACCGAGCGGAGCCCATTGTCTCTCCAAACGACGGTAGGGTGCACCATGCAAATATCGCCCTCGAATAATTTCACCTTCCGAAATCTGAACCTCGTAAATCTGGTATTAACGTCGCTACAAAAAAAAAATATTTGTAATATGTTTAGCATCAATTATCATTATTTTCTTATCATTTGTTTTCTTCTTTTTTCGAGAATTAATTACTGATAAAGATATCAAATTTTGCAGATAAATATTTTTCCTTGTATATACAATGTAGCGAACTGTTTGCATTTTTAATTCTATTATTTATAAGAAGATATTTCTGCTGCGTCCGTGTGACAAAATATCAAAGGTTAACGCTATTTCGAGACGTTAATCATCATGGCGTAATGACGTACGGTAATTATCATTTAACGAGACGGAAGATTTGAACGAATCAAACGCTCTGTCTTATCTTCGTTTGAAGATAATTGGTTTGGTCACTCTATCACAGATCGTACTTCCTCCGGACAAAACTGATATATGATATTTTAAGTGACGGAGTACCCGACCAATAATTGAATTTAAAGGGCGGAAGCGAAGAAATCTGGTCCCCTTTCGTATTAACCTAATCAAGCGCAGTTGTCGGTACCGCCGACTGTCGCGGTCACAATAGAGACATTAAATTGTCAGTACGGATTTATTAAACCCGGCGCGGTCACAGCCGTAAAACCGCATGGATCTTGGACGATTTCTTTCACTATTACATCTGACTATGTTTGTAACCAACTCGAACGCTTACGTTCATTGTAAGTTATCGAAGTCCCGACTGTCGCAAATGTGTTGCTTAGACGAACCTTGAATTTCGTATATTTCCAAACTTGATTTTCGAACCTATGTATTATTTATAGATTTATAGACTGTTATTTATAGCGATTGCGATAAATCAAGGTAGAAACTGGATAGAGGGTTATTTTTTAAGTTATTACCAGAGCAGGTGCCAGACAATCTTGCCATGCTCTTGCTTTGCTGAAAATTATGCATGGTCGCCACATTAGCAAAGAGACTCACATCGGCGGCTTTTTATTGCCTCCGGCAGCCTCCGTAAGAATCGCTGTTAGGCGTTCGACATACGCGAACATCTCGTCGTTCTCGGTACGATGACTTGTCGACAATTCACTACGACCGGTACCCCCCGTGCGTGCATCCCTCCCCTTCGGGATCTGCTTACTTCATGCTTACTTGCTTGCCTCTTATCATTAAATTTAAGACAAGTTTTTGTCAATTATGTGCTTTTCGTGTATTATGTCGGCGTATGATTTCAGAGGAGTAAAAGTGTCGGAAGAAATCGAGTTCGGGACGATTTATAAACGCAGACTCTCGAAAATATATCACAATCTAATTATTTTATTAAAACGACAAAATGACAAATGTTGCAGTCTTAATTCTTATGAATATCTCTAACAAGAGATATTCACTCTTTCGCGCATGATATAATAATCATATTAAGAGGAAATAAGAGGAAATAACTAACTATATAATTTTTTGCTTACTTGTACACGCTTGATATCTTGATATCTTGATTCCGCTTGTAAAACCTGTTTCCAAAATTATTAAGTAAAAATAAAAAAATGTTTTGCAATAAATTGTGACATAACAAATTTCAAATTTAATATTAAATTTAAATTTTTTAATAATAATCTTTTTCTTTTTCAATTACACTGTTTATATCCCTGAAATAAATGTAATTATTTTTACAAATTTATTATAAACTGGATAAATGATTATATTTAATATTTGTTTTGAGCGGGATGAGGTTTTTTTAGTTCAATTTAATATCGTTGTATTAATAATTTTACACCTAATTAATAAAAATTTTTTTATTAAAGACAAAGTTTTCATACCATAAAGTAAATTTGCACAACCGTGGGAAAAGGCACATAATGAAATTGGTTCCTTGACAAACCAACGGACGTGGAAATGGTACATTTACCCGTATACATCAAAGCGTGCATGCGAAACAACAAGGACATTCCACACGATTAAGGGAGCGATTCCCGTCGATTACGGGAACAATGTCGTCCCGTATTTCTTTGATGTCGGTACCATCGTTGTAAATGGCATATGAAAAAAAGATTACTATCTAAAAAACTTGTTCAAGGTGATATTTAGTCTTGCACAGTTTCTGCAATCGGGAGATTCCCTCCTCCCGATTGTCACCGTGCTTCGTCTCCCACGCGTCGAATAACATATTGTAATATCTCGGAACATCGAAGTACTGCAAGTATTGATGGCTAGTAGTAGTAGGGAAAATCCTCTCGAATCTGTCCGACTGTGTTAACTCGTCCTCGTAGATAATCAAGTGTCTTACATCGTCAGGCGTAAGATCGTCGATTATCTGATCAAGATAATATTCCCGATTTCTCAGGTTCGCATACATGGACTGCTTGTGTCGTTCCTGATAGCTAAGGGTAGTTCGATGCAGTCTGTAATCTTGGCACACCGAATCTAATTGATATCTTTGGGCTAATTTCGCAGTTTCCTCCGCCGGTATGCATGTGGGCAGTTGGTATCCGGCTATATTAAAGAGGTTTCTAATGAGGGGCCCCTTGACCGCGATGTCGAGAGGCGAGGAAGACTGTAGAGAGGGCGATATGTTTACTTCAAGTAACCATGGTCGCTGATTCTCATCCAGAAGAATATCGACCCCGAAAAGCTCGTAGCAACAGTACCTTATGATTTAAAATCAGAAAGATATTGACAGTAAAATAGTGTTGAGCAAAAACATTAATTAATTTTTAATGAGCAAAAATGAGTCTGAGTAAATCTGAGGTATTTTAATAAAAAGCTGTCCAAAAAGATATATAAATTTTCATTTCTTTTATCGTTAAATATTTTAGTTTTATCCAAAATGTAAGAAAAATATTGACATTAAATAAAAATTTGTAACATAATAATTGATCTCATTAAAAAATAAATTAGATAATTGAAATTTCTTCTCACCTCGAAGTTGTATTGGCTCTTGTTAGAGTATTGATAGAAGATTCGCCAGCTATCATCGTTTTGATAACTATATCCTTTATTGACTCCCATATCTTGACAGTATCTACGTTCTCCTGCTCGAGATAAGACCACAGGGTTCTCAAGGTCCACTTGTGACCGGTGCTGGAATCCGCGCAATCGTTACTGGTGTAGGTCGCGCTGGTCTTATTGATGCTGTAATTGGTGAGATGCATGAAACGGTCGCTGAGGTAGTTGATGTCGTCGTTGTACTTGACGGAGGCGAAGCGCACGAGGCCGTCCGGATATATGTAAATCCTAAGCGGATTGAAACTGGTGACGAACACGTAGAGCCGCAGGTCAAACTTGGCATCGCGTATCAGCATCGGCCGCGACAGATACTGCTGGACGATGACGGCGCGTTTCTTTGGTATCTGGGACCAGCGATGGACCACGCGGATCCCGGTGCCGCGTGCGGATGCCGGCGGCTTGATGATCCACTTCTCCTTGCCGCCGTTCTTCTCCCACACCTGACGGAAAATACGCAGGTCCTGAGGTAGGACGTAGGTGCGCGGCACGAAGCCGAATTCCCGTTTGCCGTACTTCGCCATCATCCTGCTGAGATTGCACCACAGCCGGTCCTTCCGGCCGATCTGGAAGGTGCCTGGAAAGTGGTTGACCTTCTGCGACTCCTTCAAGCCCTTGTAGCAGATAGACTTCATATGCTTGCCCCAGGTGCCGCACCAGTGTCGGCACTTCTTCATCAGCCGATAACCGGAATTCGTGACGATGCGACGCACTAATATCGGTGTTATCGTGGTGAGATGCCACTTGAGATGCATCGTCACTTCGTACGGCAGTACCGAACCGGCTTTGCTGTCGAACGGCTGAAAGGCGACGTAAGGCGGTACGTTGTCAAACAAGCTTCTACGTAAGGGCAGCTTGTTCCGTTTGTCACCGTCGATCGACAGCAGGTCCCTGTCGACATCGAGGTCAGGCACGCTCTCCTCGTCATATTGAGTCTCGGCGCCGTCGGTACTGCTCGCAATGCTATTGGTTTCGTGTTGATTATATGCTATCACGTCCATCTCGAATAGCCTGCAACATACGGAGGGGGAGGGGGGACGGACGAAGGGTCCATCGTGACAATTTAATTTTGACAGCTAGAGAGATTTTACGTCATTTACATTCGCGAAATTAATATTTCTTTAACTGTTAAAGAGTTTTCTTTTACATAACGGCAAATAGACGCAATTTTGTGATCCGTAATTCGTAATTGCAGAATCACGTCGATTCGTCGCTGTCGTTAACGTGAGCGTCTTTAAACAATTAAGGTACCGACGAATACCGTTAATACGGTACAGAATACCGCTACCGAACATCTTCAAGATGCGGAATTGTTAGCATTTGTGATGAATATGTGTCATATCTTGTTGAGAAGTGTGATGGTTGACTTGTTAATCTCGATATATTGCATTGATGTAATTACAAATTTTTATATTATTTTTTTTAATATATTTACAAAATATTTTTGTAATATTTTAATATTACAATATATTTTTGTAATATTTATATAATATCGTTATTATTGTTATAAAAGTATATATTCCCTGTGAACATTTTTCACCGACCGGTTACAAAGTATCTTTACAAGTTTCTTTAGGGGCATAATTAAGTAGCATCACAACCATTATTTATATGTTATTGAAGATATAAAGTTATTAATAATATGAACCGAGCAGCTGCAGATAAATAAAATCGATTTACTTGGTACAGTGGGGAGCAAGAGATTCTAGATTGACAAGTAAAATTCGATTAAAATTCAATTTAGTCAACAGCCACGTCAACCTGAATAAAATTTTTCCCAGAAATATTTTTTCTCCGTAACTTATCGTTACGTTCCATCTAAAATTTTGCTTCGCGTAAATAACTCCACAATGTAGAAAGTTACCTAAAGTCGATTTAAAAACTCAATTGTAGCAGTTACTATGTATATCGAGACAAATATGTCATAATTTCTGCAAACATAACATATTTTGGATATTCTTAAGCATTTCAGAATTTGAGACAATATTTTTCTTAAAAAAGATAAAAAAATTATCTTCTCAAATTTATTTTATTTATTTATCCTTGATTCATATTTTTGAACGTATAATCGTGTTTGATAAAAAGTTACATAGTAGCAAAGTTATAAGATAACGACATATGTCAAAATATGATAAGAATCGCACACGACGCGACGAAAAATCATAAAAATCGAATAGTATAAAATGTGAATAAAATAAAATAATATAATATTATCACACTGACGATTACATCGCTAAGCAATTTCTGCGTAACAATTGTAATCACGAGCGAGACTGAATCGAATGACAATGCTTCACGTTTGCATCAACGCGCAACGTAAGCGTTTTCATGCACGCGGCAGAAAATTAAACGTGCACGATTGCGAAATTTATAAGAGAAAAGTTGCTTACCAATTCGTATTGTTTAAACGCCAGCAGCTACCAGCATTATGATGACGCGGCCACAAACACCTGAAACACCACAATCGATCGGTGAATTATTACGATTGCTGAGAAATCACGGATTTTTGGGATAGCCTCCATTCGTTGCGGCGGCAATTAACGTTTCTTTATAGCATATAGGAATTTGCGGGAAAAACATTTTGAGAAACGCACGCAAAAAAAAAAACGCACAGATAATAATGCCGATCTTGTAAAGCACGGATCGTCAGTGTGTAATTGCGAAATCATGTAGTTGAGTACTGCGAAAAGATAACAGCTACATTTATACCATAATAATAATAATTTACGTTTCGATAAACTATTGAAAACAACTGATAAGTCAATTCGAAGATCATTCATCTTCGAATATTAAAGACGAGTTGACTTGTATTCTCGATGTCGTGCAAAATATTACGTTTATCTGTATTTTAACGTATAATCGAAACATTTCGAATATTTTTATTTATTATTATTACGATTATTGTTAGATCGAGTACAAAAAAAATATGTAAAAATAGCTTTTTAGGAGTTACTTTTCTCAATTCTCTTATATTTTAAGTTAATTAGCCAAAATAACTAGTTTAACTGATTCGATTGCAAACAATGTTTTATTTTTTTATTATTTTAAGAAGATCATGTCTTGTAGTATGTAAATGCTTGCAAATCAACGAGTGGCTTATGTATCCCAATAATTACAAGCGCAATTACTCGCATGCAAGTAATACGCGTCTGTCAATCGCACATTGCGCTTGAATGAGAAGCTGATACATTGGACACACATCCGCACGCACGCAAAACGATTAATATACGTTACTGTACAATTACATTTTCAAGGGAACGGTATCATGCAAATAAAATAAGAAAAAAAAATAATTGTCGTTATAATTTATGTCTGTACTGAAAATGCTGCTCACTTTTCTGTCAATCGACATTTTTCAATAAAATTCAATGCAATTTCCCCTACTCTCGCAACAACTTCAAATCTTCATTATGAAAGAAGTACCGTTTCAGAAAGATAATACATTCTTCGATA